CACTTTGTGCCATCTTGTATGTATCGGAATGTACATTGCTTGTTGATGCTACGCTGACCTTGCATTGTCCATTTCAGTCCTTTTCATCACATTGCAGATCCTCGGCTCCCTACGCATTGTCCCATTGGGCATGCATCAGTTTGGTATCGGAGCCCCGCTTGTGAATCAAGACAACCTGATCTGACACAAGCGCGGGGACAATCGAAGATCGATTGAAGATCGATTGATTGATTGATTGATTGATTGATTGATTGATTGATTGATTAACCATTGATTGATTAACCATTGATTGATTGATTGATTGATTGATTAGGACACACTAATTAGTCCCCAAAATCGCAGATTTTCGACCTAACTGCTGAAATCGATTTTCTTTTCTTTTCTTTTGGATTTCATTTTCCCACTATTGTTTTGTGGAAAATCGCAATAGCGTAGCATCTGGAATTTTTGTTTCTCTTTTCCTTTTGAAATTTGAAATTTCGGTGCCGGAAGTCTGAAAACATTACGGAAGTTCTTTTCGATTTATCTTTTCCTCCGCAATTCCCGTTAATTCGAAATTTTAAATTTTTTCTGAAATTCATTATTCGAACTTATTTCCAAAAATTTTCGGCTTCTTTTCTTTTTTCATGCATTCCAGGGGTAACGAAAAATTCGAAACTTGATCGTTATTCCCAAATTCGAAAATTATTTTTTACGGGAACTTCCTCTGCATTCATTGTTTTCAAACTGCGCATACTCTCACTTGAGAAATTCCGAGTTTTTTGTATGCTTCGGAATTCTCTGAACTTGCGGGATTTTTTATTTTTCGCAATTCAGTTACTGGGATCATCTCCATTTGTTATTATTTTTATTTTGCATCGACAGTCTGAAATTCAAATTTTTTTTCTGAACTACCTGTTGTGGGAAAAATAGGAGACCTACCAAACTTGCAATCGAGAATTTTTTTAATTATTTAAGATATTTTTATTTTCTCGAAATTTTCGCAAAGAGCCAACTTTTCATTTTTGATTAGTGGCTCCTTATCTGGGTGATTCGCTCGATTCCCCCACTCCCCACCTCTCCCTCCCAACTCCTTCTCCTCTTCTTCTTGCTCAACTGCCCATCAGTTAGGCTACAGCCTTGGTAAGTCTCTACCTTTGCAGGTCACGTCACCTGTCCGCGGTACATGACCCTGCTCACTCGTTCACAGAAAGCAGGGATGGATCAGAAGGCCGGCGAGACTGATGAAGCCTATGAGACACGATTGACGGCCATCATGGCCGAAAGCAAGCAACGGGTAGAAGCATCAGCAGCAACACGGAAGAAGAGAGAGGCAGAGCCAAAGAAGCTGCGTCGGTTGGCCGAAGATCAACGACAGAAGCACGCAGCAGCAGCAGCAAAGGCCGCCGATGAAGAACACGTACGGTGGCGGGAGATTCTCTTCAAGGAGGAAACTGCGTTACACACACAGGCCAAGGATTGGCAGAAGGAGGCTGAGAATGGAGACTCCGTTGACTACGGGAGAAGGATTGCTCTCTTGCTCAACCGCGTCATAGACCTCCTCGCTACTTGCGTTGCACAGCAGGAGGACATTCACTCTCTCGACCACGCCAACCAGGCGCTGACCAAGCGCATACAACAGCTGGAGCAGCGACCGTCGCCACTTCCAGCGCCGGCCCCTCCGACCTCGTCGACCACGTCAACGTCTTGGAGATAGACGTGGGAACGCTCAAAACCGAGACACAACGACTGGACCAGCAGGTGGGGGCAGCAGCCACACAGAGCTCAGCGCCTCGTGAGAGCATTCCCAAATTTGAGGGGCTCCCGATCTTCTGTGATGCATCGGAGACGGAGCCTATACCTTGGTGGCGCAAGTAAAAATTAAAGCTGGACATCCACCATGTCGTCCACACAAACCGGCACGCATACTTGTACTCCCGGTCAGGAGGTGCCTGCCAAGCATGGTTGGACAACATGTTGTCCGCACATGCATGCACAGTCTCCGAGTTACACAACTTCATCACCTGGGCCGATCTCACGGCGGCATGGAAGAAGCGTTTCCAAGTGGAACTGCCCGAGCATCAGGCGATGGACAAGCTGCTGACATTCGTACAGACCAGCATGCCAAGGGGGGACTGGATATCTGAGTTCCAATGTCTGGCGAGCACGCCCAAGTTGCCGCTGAACTTCGACGGCATCAAGCTCTACTTCATCAAAAGGTCGTGCCCAGCGTTGCAAAAATGCATTAACTCAGGTCGCTGAGAACCTCAACACAGGTGAGGAACTCTTCAACAAGGCCGCGCAGATCATTGTGACGAACTTGGAAGCCAAGAACATTGGCCGTTCGTCGACAGCCGGCCAGGGCGCGTATCAGCATCGGCCGAAAGTGCCCGTGGTCGCGGCAGCAATGCCAAGCGACCCTTCAACTTCAAACGAGGCTGCCTCTTCTGCCGAGGGAGACTGAATGGTGGGCGCCCCGCCGAAGGACGAGGACGCGACAAAACGAAGACAAACACCACTTCTTCTAGGCCCGGACAAGCAATTCCGGCTCAAGAACCTTGGACATAATACGGTCTGACGGAGCGCGGGTATCGTGTCCGCAGCAAGTACCATTATTGTTTGTGGTGCAACTGTGCGGCACATGAGAGCGCGAACTGTCCCACGAAAGCCAAGAGCCCCGCTTAGTCGGGAAAGTGAGCACCGCCGAGAGTGATGCGACGACATGCTCGACGCCTTCGGAACCGGTTGCCGTACGGGTAACCTCCCTTGGTTCCGGGGCACATGCGGAAGTCGTAAGTCCTCCCATTCTTCATTCTTTCAAGGACTATGCTGCCCGGCTCGTACCTTCGCTGAATTCACGAGCCCAAGGACAGGATGTATGTGCGGTTTCTTTTCCGATCGGAAGCAGCAACATTGAGTCGTCTTCAAGTGGACCTTCACGGAATTCGGCGCGCACGTTCAACATAGAGGACTTGGACCCGTTGACGCCCGAGGATTTTGCATGGCTCCCTCTCCCTTCCACCGGTTGCTTACCGGGGTCGCAATGCGCAACTCTTAGCGCTCATCTACATACATACCTAGCCTGCTATGCACCACCAACTTCGCCAACGGAGGACGAAGTCGCGGTGGGGGATATTCTTGCGTACGTTAGCAAGGTGGCTCGCGAGTTTTGCACGCAGCGGTACGACGACAACAACGCACCGCTCCTTTATGTCTGCATCCAAGTTGGGCAAGCGTCCTGCAGCGCTTTGCTGGATAGCGGCACGACTCGCAACTTCATTAGCCAGTCCTTTATGCAAAGGGCCGGCCTTGGACCACAAGTTCGAATGAAGGCACACCCTATGGCGATCAAGTTGGCGGACGGTAGGACGTAACAACTCCTTGACCGCTACATCGAGGCCGTACCGGTCTATTTCGCACCTCATGCATGCGAACCGGTGACGTTTGACGTCTTGGACACGGACTTCGACATCATTTTGGGCATGCCTTGGCTTGCAAGTGCGGATCACACGGTCAACTTCCATCGGTGGACACTTACGATCCGCGACGCGTTTGGCGCCGAAGTACCATGTACCATCCCTCTTTTGCACCCTTCGTTCCGGTGCCAAGTTGTAACAGCCAAATCTTTTCGGGTCACTTGCGCTTACGAGCGGACCGACGAGATAGGCCTATGTTTTCTTTGCACCGTCGCGGCAACCGAATCTCAACCCACGGACTTGTCTTCGGACCCCCGTGTGGTACGGTTGTTTGACGAATTTGCCGACATCTTCGAGTCACCTACCGGCAAGGTGCCGGATCGGCCTATCTCCCACGAGGTCATTCTCGAGGCTGGTGCCGTTCCGCCGAAAGGTTGCATCTATCGCATGAGCGAGGAGGAACTTACAGTACTCCGCGCGCAGCTCGCGATTTGTTGGACAAAGGCTGGATCCGGCCTAGTAGCTCACCCTATGGTGCGCCGGTTCTCTTCGTGCAGAAGAAGAACAAGGATCTTCGCCTATGCATCGATTACCGCAAGCTCAATGCACAAACCGTCGAGAACGCGGGACCTCTTCCTCGTATTGACGACCTTCTGGAGCGTTTGAACGGCACGAATTTTTTTTCCAAACTGGATTTGAAGTCGGGGTATTATCAGATTTCGATACGCTCGCAAGATCGCTACAAAACCGCGTTTAAGACATGGTACGGGCATTTTGAGTGGGTCGTCATGCCTTTCGGACTCACCAACACCTCGACGACTTTTCAAGCTGCGATGACCAACGAGTTTTGTGCAATGCTAGACCAGTTCGTGCTGGTCTACTTGGACGACATCCTCGTCTATAGTCGGACCTTGGAGGAACATCTCGAGCATTTTCGACAAGTGTTGGAGATGCTCCGCGACAAGTGTGAATTCGTACGTCAAGAGTTGGAATACTTGGGCCATTTCGTCACTCCTCAAGGCATCACTCTGTTGTCGGACAAGATTCAAGCCATCCAAGATTGGCCGGAGCCACGGAACGTCACGGATGTCCGTTCGTTCCTTGGCCTTGCCGGCTACTACCAACGTTTCATTAAAGGGTACCCGAAGATCGCGGCCCACTTATCCAAGCTTCAATGCGAGGACCGACCATTTGACTTCGGGACGGATGCGCGGGAATCATTTTTGGCCCTTAAGGACGCATTGCTATCAGCGGAAGTCTTGCGAATATACGACCCGCTATTGCCAACGCACGTCACTACGGATGCGTCTGGCTATAGCATTGGTGTCGTCCTCGAACAACACGATGGCGTGGACTGGCACCCGGTTGAATACTTCAGCAAGAAAGTGTCGGTCGTGCATTCAATCAATGATGCACGCAAGAAGGAACGTCTCGCCTTCGTCCACACACTGAAGCGGTGGCAGCACTTCCTCCCTGGTCGACGCCAATTTCGATGGGTAACGGACAACACTCTGTTGGTCTTTTACAAGACCCAAGACACCGTCAATAACACGATCGCCCGTTGGATGGCCTTCATCGACCAGTTCGACTTCTTTCCCGATCATATTCGGGGGAAGTCAAACCGTTTTGCGGATGCTCTTTCACGGCGTCCGGATCACTGCACCGCCGTCTACTCGACCTTCGAGATAGAGGATGACTTGCGGGACAGTTTCATCCGCGGCTATCAAGCCGACCCACAATTTCGCAACAAGTACGCAAATTGTTCCTCTCCCAATCCGGCGCCTTCGCACTATCGGATCCAAGAGGGATACTTGCTCGTTCACTCGCGGGGGAAGGATCTACTTTGTGTGCCGCAAGATTCACACTTGCGCACGAGGTTTCTTGGCGAGTTCCACGACGCCCCCGCCACCGGACACTTTGGAATCAATCGCACGATTGGCCGACTCCGCGAGCGCTTTTGGTGGCCCGGTCTTCTCGACGACGTCACGCGCTATTGCGAGTCATGCGAGGTTTGCTGACGTTGCAAATCCCGCAATCATCGTCCGTACGACAAACTGCGACCATTACCGGTCCCCTTGCGCCGAAGGGAAGCGATTGCCATCGACATTATCGGGCCGTTCCCCAAGCACAAGACGGGTGTGGATGGGACTCTCACGGTGGTTGACCGACTCACCAAGTTTGCCATGTTTTTGCCTTGCCGCTATCACGCCAAGGTACCAGAGTTGGCCGAGGTTCTCTATGCCGGTTGGATTCGAACCAAGGGTTACCCCAAGGAAATCGTCTGCGACCGCGACACTCGGTTCATGTCCAATTTTTTGTTGGCGCTCATCAAACGATGGGGCTCATCCCTCGAGCCGAGTTCAGCTCGCCACCCCCAAACCGATGGCCAAATGGAGAGGGCACATCAGACCGCACAGGTCCTTCTTCACACTCTCATCCATCCCGACCAAAAGGATTGGGTCGAGCGGCTGCCGGATATCGAGTTGGCATACAACTCGTCCATCCATCCGGCTATGGGGATGTCGCCCTTTGAGTTCGAGCATGGCTCGCCGGTCAATTCTCCATTGGACACAATCATCCGACGGACGACCGAGAGCGACGACCATCTTCTCTTCATTCGTCGGATGCAAGAGCTTCTTGTCAAGGCACGCGACCAGATGTCAAAGACGCAGCAACGTATGCGCCAACAGGCCAACCGCCAGCGTCTTCCTTGTTCGTTCCACGCCGACGACCTCGTATGGGTTTCCGCTGCAGAATTCAGCCTCGAACAAGATATCTCTCGCAAGCTCCTTCCGAAATGGATGGGGCACTGGCCGATCGTGGCACCCGCTGGGGACGCACCCGAAGGACCTTCATTCATCATTCAGGTGCCCGCCCACTTGCCCGTCAACCCGGTCTTTCACTGTTCCAAGTTGGCTCTCTACACGCCAGCGGAACTTGACGACTTTCCTGGGCGACGATCGCAAGACCCACCCTCGATGGACGGTTTCCAAGAGGTTGGCGACATCATATCCCAGCGACGTTATGGCAACAGGCCGACTGAATTCTTGGTCCATTTTGCATATTGCACCCGTAGAGCTGACCGTTTGTTGACCCGTGCGGAACTTCAAGCAACAGCTCCCGATGTCCTCGCACGCTACGAACGCAAGCCGGCATCTTCGGCTCCACGCCGCACCCGCGTCCAGGTTCCACCTTCAGATCGTCAGCTTCGCCCTCGACCCGGCTTGGCTTCATAAGGACAGGGGGGTGTTACATGCTGCGCCTGCACACGGGCCCCATTTGAGGGGCCCGACGGTTGCTGAGGGGCCCCCAGGCCGCGTACTATACATCACGCACCCTGGAGGCCCACGGCGGCCCTTCAGGCCCTAGGTAGCACACTAGGTACATAGGCTTTGTTTACTTACCTTTTGGTGTGTGTGTGTTGTTTTATTTTTGCCTGTTCAGATGCCGTTTCAGATTCGCAGCCCCAAGGCCGGACCTTGGGACTGGGTACACCAGAGACAGGCCTGAAACGAGGCCAGGCGCATTTTGGCGCCAAACAGACGTCGTTTCGGTCCTGTAGGTCCCACGCCTCGGACTAGGTGCACAGGAACAGGGCCGTTTTTAGGGCAGCCGCATTTCTGCGCCTTGCTGCATCAGCAGCGTGGTCTGGACGTCCGGTAGGGACCCAGACCAGCTGGGCCATTTTCTGAGGCCAGCAGCAGGTAGGCCCAGCCCGCCCAGCGCTACAAATAGCTGGGCAGCGGCTGGGCAAGGACAGTTCAAGTAGCTCACTTCTGGAGAGACACGCTGCTGGTTGAAGCAGCATTCTTCTGCGCCAAGCTACGGAGTAGGGAATAGCGGAGTAGGTAGTAGAGAGGGCGGAGGCCTTACCTGCAAGCTATGAACTTCCCTGGCGCCATAGCTGGGCTCCGCGCGGTACCTGCACACAACGACGACCACAGTCAGTACGGTGACAGCTACCTGCAGGTGAGATAGCAAGGAGGACGTCATCTTCTTCTTCTTCCTCCTCCATCTCTCTCTCTCTC